CGCCTGATATTTTGTTCGACTAGCATAGCAAGGATGTTCAGAATAAACACGCACTCACAAACTTTCTCTAACATTTACAGTATTATAGTGTGCCTTCTACCATCAGCTCCTTTCGGGGATGAGTTGTAGCTTAAATATAGTGCTAGGAAGGCCCCCACGTAAAATAATAATGATGGGAGAATGACAAGGATGGATGCGAAACCAATAATCCGGGGTCGACGGTCCTATGAGTGGTCACCTACCTTGGTGGCTTGCGGGGGAGGAGTTTCCTCCCTCACTTCCAAGATCAACATCTTCAATTTCACACCCCTCTAAAGTAACAGGAATATTGTTGACACTTGGTTCGGAGCTGGCATTGCTGCATGTAGCAAGAGGAGAGTCCGTAGCACTAGCAGTTTTGCTTTTTGCTGGTCTCGTTCTGACGCTGTACACAGAGGAAGCCGGAACATTCGTCAAAACTGGTCGTAGATTACCTGTCACGCTTCGCCTTATATCCTACATAAGCAAATTTCATAATTAAATTAAAACTTGCTTCGGAAAAACAAAGTTCTTTGGTATATTGTATATCACACCAAGCATAGGCTGGATAATACTGAATGGATTGCAAGATTTGAACGCCAAACATTATGCATGTTATCCCGTATATCATTATGGTCACTGAACAAGGTCTTCGCTATGCATTAAGTGAACAATGTGCACTTGAAGAAGGAAAGTGATGCATACCATGTGCCTCATAGCCATATCAAAGGACTTCTTTGAAAGGTTTCTTCCAAAGCCAGAGCTTTCAGAGGACAGAGACTTCCCAGCAGAATTGTTCTGAGTAGTGTGGTGGTCATATTGCTTAGGTGGTGCCAGTTTCCTCGAGTTTACTACTCTCTCAACCATTTGTGTTCCAATAAGTACAGGGTTTACATCATCACTGTCATTGGAAGATGGTCTGCTTATGACTCGATGAGAGTTCCCATTAGCAGTGGCACTACCATATGAAGCCCGTCCACTAGAAGGTGATGGTTGTCTTGGTTTTCCATTAGAATTACCAGCTATAACAGACGATGACCTAAAACTTGGTGCTCCAGGCCGATCCCTAGAGGCTGAAGCCGGCCTTTGTGGCAGTGATGTTCTTAAATTTAGTGGAGCATCAAGTGAGAAACCAGGCATCTCAGATGATTTCACAGGCCTAGGTTTTACTGTTGGGGAACTTCCACGTGATGGCACGGGATTTTTTGAACTTGTGGGACGTGGCTTTGTTGCTGAAGAAGATCGACCAGAAGGAGCAGATAGGGTAGGTGCAATTGATGAACTTGGTCGATGGGTTGGTGTTGCTGATCTTGATGTTGACTTGGAAGCTGGTACAGAAGGTCTGGCAGTTGGTGTAGAAGAACGAGCAATGGACCTAGAAGGAGTTGAAGACCTCACTGTAGGAGCCATGGGCTTAACGGATGATAAGGTGGCTCGTGAATTTGGGGTAGAGGATCTTGAGGGCTTGGTTGATGAAGGTAATGAGGACCGTCCAGTTGGTGTTGCAGATCTACGAGGAGCAGCTGCTGGCCCTCCAGATGATGAGGGCCTCCTGTTACCAATACTGGAAGAATTCAGACCAGATGTCAATGTTGGATGCTTAGATGCTACATTGCCCCTTGAAGTAGGTTCTGGTTTGATGTTTGCTAGCTGCAGCCCAAGTTATTGACAACATGACAACATAAATTTACAACTCATGACTTGATAAGTAAAACCAAAAATCCCAAAACAATTAATAGAACACCTGCAGTTCTAACTAGGCAGACATAAAAGCTAGGAATACAAGATCATTGAAATCTTATGATCTTATGAATACAAGATCATCATTTTAAGATGAATGAGTCAAATGTAGGAATGCTGCACATACATATCACAAAATTAAACCAGGCCTATAAATATTAAGAACTCAGGTTGACCAGAGTCTAGAGTTCTTACCCTAGATTTCGGAGCGGATACATGGTCATTAGGAACCTCAGTATGATTGATCGCAGTTTTCAGTGCTTCCGAATCCAAGGATGGAAAAAGTGGGGTAGCAGGGGGAGTAAGAAGCCTGGATATTAGAAGAGATTACCCATTACGATACCACAAGTGAGATGACATTATCATTATTCCAGAATCCAGACCAAAGCATAGAGATTAGAGTGAGAAATAAAAGTCTACAAAATGAACAAGAAATCCTGCTCTATTCAGGCTTAATCAACTTTTCTTAAAAACAGTCCTTAGAAACAGAACACCCCCTGATTTAGCAACCCATCTGTCACAAACAAGTTTCTTCAACAATTCTACAAGTTATTAGATGGTTCATCCTAATCAGACGGCCATATTAGTCAATCAGTTATAAACAAACATATCATCAATTATTTAAGCTTTGACATGAACTTACTAATACTCACCAATCGTAATCAGATTTCTCATTCTCCGAATTCAAAAACTCATCCACTCGGCTCTTTCTCTGCGGCGCCGCAGGTCCAACAATCCTAGAAACCTCTGAACCTCCACGGTTATCAAAATCTGCACAAAGTAAGCACAACCCATCATCAATATCAGCCCAAACAAGGGAAAAAAAGTAACAAATACCGAAACTTTTGAAACTACCAATAAGAGCCCAAACGACGACGTACCAAGAGGCGCAGCAATAGCATCGAGCTCATCAGCGTTCTTGTTAGGAAGGCGGAGAAAGTTGGTATTTTTTTCCTTGTCCTTCTCGCGCCTTCGCATCTCGAGAAACAAAGCGAGCTCTTCATCTCTGTCATTCACATTCACCACCTTCCCGAAGCTTCGTTCTCGTGCCCTCGACTCCACGCTCACTTCCATGGTCGTCTCTGTAGCTCAGTAACACAAAGATTGCAGGAGAGAGAGAGTAGAAGAAGAAGAGAGGAATTGAGGAGCTTGGGAGAGGCAAGGTGAGTTCTTTTTAGCTGAAGTTCAGGTGGTGGTTTTTGTATTATTTTGTGATTGCCTTGACAAGAATGACATAGCCAGTGAGTCGCCTTCCCTGCTTTGGAAGCATTGAGATTTTTGAAACAAAAACAAAGCATCAGGAAATTAATATTTTAATGGAATATTTATGAAGATGGTGTGGATGGGCTGAGATGTGGAGATAACCACGAGAGTGCCATTGCTTCTGATTTTGCGCGAGACGTGGCTTTCTCCTAATCATTTTTTTGGGATTTCATTTTAGTCGTCCTCATAAACTGTAGACATGTGAAGATAAAGCTGTATTACACGAATTCACGATGCATGTGACATGACATGTCAAGTTTCATGGGAAGTACGACACTTGGAAAAGAAATTATGTTTAGGTTATTGAAATCTTAGATTTTTTTATATAAAATTCTCGTGTTAGTTGAAGAAATTAATCGACCATCTACAGTATAATATATTGGATTATCTAATATAATAATATTACTCTCATTTGCAATTGTTTCATGTCAACATTTCAACTACAACTTCAACAACCATATCTATGTTTTAGATTATCTAATGATTGCTACCCTTTTGAATATTGATGATGAACAAGCATTAATTCAAGCTTCTCCCTATATTTGCGTTAATCATACACCATCCAAAACCAATAAAAGATTGGAAACTTGCATAAAATACATATTACTTGCAAAGGCAGAAATCTTATAGATGGCATTTTCAATTCTTAAAATACACACGCCATTTCCCATGAAGTAGCTCGGAAGAAGTACAAGCACAGGAAGCTCCAAAATTATTCAGAGATTAATTTGATTTGAAGTTGATGACGAAAACAAGAGGGGCAATCTCGTGATTAAGTGCTAAAACAGACCCATTTTACGAACGATATTTAAAGCGAGAAACATTCCCATTCGTCTTGGCACATGCTGTAAGCCTGGAGCGTTTGACTCGTCACTCGTCGGCTCGAAACGCTGAGGAATTAATTCAAACTTTGGCGTTCAAAAGATGCCCAGATTTAAACGTGGGCTGTTGGATTTCTCGAGATGATCTACTCATCATCGGACGGCTGTTGTTGGTCGGCGAATTTAAAAGGGTCCTGCATGGGGTGGGCCTGCCTCGTGAATCGTGTGGTTTAAATTTTGGTATCTGCCTCAAAAATGCGGTCCGTGGGCCCCAATCAGATTGAGGATTGTTGTGATTGGCCAATAACCTATGGCCCAAACAAAGCCCAACCTGAAAAGGGTCATATGATATGACCCCATAGCTTTTAATCCGGCTAAAATTTACTCCCAAAGTTTTTGTTTATTATACTTTTTCCCCAAAAGTTTTCTGATTGTTTAATACTGCCTAATTGCCACTAAGGATTTGGTAAATTTTTTATTTTTAATGGGTTATTTTTATATACCCGTTAGATGGTAATGAAACCTCTCTTTAGTATTTTGATTATCGCTTGTATTATAAAAAAATAGAATAAAAACCAACTCTTTTTGTGAAACTGTAAAATTCGTTGATAAACATAGCAAATACAAGATATAAAGAGAAAGAACACAATCCCAAAAGAGGTTCTTGCAATGCAGAAAATCTAGAAAACATAAAAATCAACGTTTTGGATGCGGTAGAAATACATGTTTGGATCGCTTATGGTATGTTGGGTGGAAGTTTGTGAGACGTAGGCCATGTGCCATGCTCCATGTTTGAGTCACACGTTTCTCTGCCCTTCTTCCTCAAGTCAAGTCATCATGATGGCCCGAGCAATCAGTGCCATGCCAGCCAAAGAGACAATAAGACAAGGACGGTGACAGTTTTGAGAATATAAAGCATTTAGCTGCAGGAATAAGAACAATAATTGAGAGTGATATACATCACTACCATAATTGCATTGTTTCTGTCCATTTTTCTTGCACCAAAAAAATACCACAGAGAGAGAGGGGTTTTTCGAATATGAATTGCTTCTGCTTGTATTGTTTTTGTTTGTTCTTCCAATTCACAGACAATAAAATTCCACACAAAATCAAAAAGATCAGCAACAATACATTTTTTATTATAAGCAACTTTGGACTTTTATTAACTACAAAAGGCAACAGTTACAGGAAGATGATTTCGGATACAGATGATTAAAGCCACTCGGGCTCCTTTCTAACTAGAAAAACAAAATGCTCACTATTTTGGAAACCTGCATGGATAGCCATCAACTTTGTCGCAGGAGCAAAACACTCAGTTGACTTTTTTTAGGGAGAGCGTCCATCAACTCGCCCGTTGGAGAACCACTGCTCCAACACCTCTCAACCCCGAAGAGGCACTGCATCGGTGTTCGGTTTAATGACCCCGAAGGGTGGGGATTCTCCACTGGCAATGTGATCAGGATATGGGGGAGAGGGAGAATGGCAAGCATGAAAGCAGTCAACCTAAATATCCATGGCACACTGGAGAAGAATAGCAAGTTCACTGAGGATTCTGATCATGCAGAACATTGTTCCTTTCACCTCAAAAATACCAGCTGATGAATGGGAACTGACAAAGCTCCTCCTCAGACAAGAGACGGCACACCTGCCCCAATAAATCTATAACGATGCCACAACACCTTCGGAAAGGGCATCAGCAAAAGGTGTTATCTCCCATATGTCCAAACCATAGTGCATGCACTAACGCCTCAGAACTCACCTCACATCTGAATCTGAAGCATAAATTTGAATTCACCACCCTGTGCTTGAAAAGGGACATGCTGCACAATACAGAGATGCCTTATTGTAGGTTATGATTCTTATGAAGAGAAAAAAAAAATTATGAGGTATGTTAAGGATAAAAGTCAAATCTGGCACATATTTTCCCGGGGAGATGTGAAAGACTTCCAACAATCAATAGTCCAGATGATAATACATTTCTCACCAGAGAAACAAACAAAGGCCTGAAGCATGTTGAAACAATAACCAAAAATGTCTAGGCACATGAAGTTCCAACAAGAGCATTTGCTCCTTCGAACTTTCCGTTTACAAGAATATCATAAGTAATGTCATCAGGTACAAGGCCTCTGTCAAGCATCTCATCATGCAACCTAAAAGCCTCTTGCAAATTCCCCTCCTTGAAGTTCCCAGCAATCAAAGTACTATAAATATGAACACTAGGAGTCGTACTCCTCTTATTCATGTCTTCCAAGATCTTGCGTGCATTCTCTAGCTGTCCTTTGTTGCAAAGACCATTTATCAGAACTGTATACGTCTTGATATCAGGTACAATTTTCTTCTGAAGCATCTCTGAGTAGAGATCTGTTGCAACTTGTAACTCACCCCTTTTTAGCAAGCCATCAATTAGTGTAGTGTATGCTTTCAAATCACAGGGAATACCTTCACTTATCATCTTCTTGTGCAAGTCAAGAGCCGCTTCCATGTTATTTAAATTCTGGAAGCCCCAAATCATGCTACTGTAAACAGCTGTACTTGGAGATAAACCAACTTCAAGGAGTTCTGAGAAAAGTTGACTGGCAGTTCCCATGTCTCGCCTTTTGCAAAACCCATCAATGAGGGCACAATATGCAGTAACATCCAATTTAATACCCTTCTTTTTCATATCATTCCACATTTGCAAAGCAAGATCAATTTGATTGCTTTTGCAAAACCCATTAACAAAGCTGGTGTAAGTGACAACATTTGGAGAGACTCCACCTTCACACATTTCTCTATATACAGCCAGTGCGGAATTCATGGCACCCTCCTTGATAAACCCATCTATAATATTATTGTAACTCATACATCCAGGAACGAAACCCCTCTCAACAATTTTATTTAGCCTATCACTTGCCTCAGATGTACGACCAGCTTTGCACAAGCCATCAATGACAATGTTAACTGTGAATTCTGTGGGAGTTATCTTTGCAGCCACCATATCGTTAAAGACATCAAGGGCACGCTTTATATCACCTTTCCTGAAATAGCCCTTTATCAAAATAGAATAAGTGAAGACATTAGGTTTCAAACCTCTCTCAAGCAACTCCAAAAATACACTGTGTGCACGCTCCATATTCCCTATTCTGCAATAGCCATGTATCATGCTGTTGTAGGATACTAGATTAGGTACCACACCGTTATACACCATCTTATCCCATAAACTACAAGCTTCACTTACTTTACCCTCCCCACAAAGCCATGATAAGAGATTATTATACAAAAAAACATTAGCAACGCTACACTCAACTGCCTCATCAAACAACTTACACGCATCTTCCAGTGACCGATATTTCAAAAATCCACGTACCAAATTATTTACAATGAAGACATCAGGCAAAATATCCATGTTTTTCATCTGGATGTAAAGCTCATAAGCCTTTTCCATATTCCCATTATGACAGCAGTATTCTATAAGAACTGCATACATAACCTTCTTTGGACTAAGTCCATCCTCTATAATTATATTGAACAAATCCAAAGCACTCTCCAAATTCCCTTGCACACAATAACCCTTCATTAAGCTTGTTGCAACAACCAAATTAATTGAGTTCCCACAACTTACCATTTCATCCTTAATCCTTAGGGCTTCAACCATATTCCCTTGCTTCACACAAGCCTTGATGACGCTAGTAAACGTACCCACGGAAGGAACCCACCCCATTTCTCTCATTTCCTTCAACAACTCCAGAGCCAAACGTAAATTGGGTTTGCTACAAACAGCCTGAATAGCAACACCATGGGATGCTGCATCAAGTTCTATCCCTCTTGCCCTCGCCTCTCTAAAGTACTCCTCTGCCTTATTTGGTTGCCCCTCTTTCAAGCAAGCATGCATCATCACACGCAGAGTGGCACGATCACCTCCCATTCCTCTCAAAACCATTTTATCATACAACTCCCGTGCATTCACAATCATTTTTCTCCTAACCAATTCTGCTAAAAGAATATTCATACACGTAACACAAGGATACAACTCAAGCTCTATCATTCTATCAAAGCAATCAATCGCATATTTGATTCGATTGGCTCTAATATAACTGTTCAATAAGTAGCTAAAAACCCGAGATTCTAATTCAAAATCAAACCTTTTAGCGCAGTCTATCAAGCGGTCGAAAAATACTTGCTGAGCAGGGCCTGAATCACCGGAAGCGTACTGGTTAAGCAAGATTTGGGCACGCACATGAGTCTCTTCAAAGCGAGTCAAAATGTGAAGCAACACACAAAACGCATCGACACCTTTAAGAAAGCCTCGCTCTTTTTCAGCCCATATGAAGTGCTCCAGTGCCGAATTTGGTTCACTCCTGTGGCTTAGAAGAGTGCTTATCACCTTGGTTTGTGTTATTTCCGAGTCTCGTCCAAATAGGTCTTCGTGAAATTCAATTTCTGAAGTGGCTTTCTCAGGAAAATCAGATTTTGAAGTGACTGACTGGGAAGAATTGGTACTCGGATTGGGATTCTTCGACAATGATGATTCTAAATGGGGCTTAGGAAATTGGGTTTGTGAAGAGAGGAATTTAGGGTTTAAGAAGGAGAGGCGACGTATTGAAGGAAGTGGCGAGGAATTGAGCGAAGATTTCATTTTTGGGTTTCTGCAGAACAAGAAAAGAGCAAAACCAGAATGAAGGTGCTTTGGTTTGGTAGCGAGACGGACGAAGTGAAAGTGAGGAGGTTGATGACGACAGAAGCTGTGGCGCGAGTGCTTGAATTAGCTAAGTTTTCATATACTAGGGGCCCTCAGCTAATGGCTATAGAAATGGAGATATTCAAAATTCCGATTTTCAATTTTCAGTATTTACTACTAATCTCAATTTGTTGACCCCTTATTTTGAGCACTAAATTCATTTTATCCAGCAAATGATTTGATGTAACACAGTGTGTCGGTCGAGCAAATTTGATGAAATAATGTAAAGTAATTCTAAAATTATCTACTTCTAAGTAATTCATTCTACACGAAATACTTTTAATCATTTCGTTGAATAAATATAAGAGATTTTATATTTAAACCTCACACTTCTCTTAGTTCACTCTAATACTTAAATCATTAAACTGTAAGTTTTATTATTGTGTAAAAAGACAAAAAAAGTCATCCAACTTAATACTTAACCCTAGTACATCTATACACACACACCACCACTCTTCATATTGAGTTTTAGAGAAATACAAACTCATCTACATTGTATTGCCAGAGACACAAAACATTGACGAGCATGCCTCTTTAAAATTTGCGTGGGAGCTGATAGAAAGACTTGTTAATTGTTTGGCTGTAATGATCTTATTATCTTCCCTTTGTTGATTGCTTGGCTGTTGATTGCTTTTGTTTGGTTTTATGTTTGTTTTTTTTATACCTGATGTTTTGGTAAAGTTGTTCTCTTTCTCTAGAAAGTATTAAAGTTCAGATTTTGGGTTCCATTTGTTTGTGTTTTTTTTTTTGCTGGGAACAGTAATATTATTGTCACTTCTCAAATTCCAGTATGCATCTAAAATCATAATCATGCTGCTGCTTCAATAGTTGAGTTATTTTTCTTGTTGCTTTTCCACTTTGATAAAAGCTTCAATGTATACTCCATTGATGGTCGATTAGATGGCCCACTCCTAGTGCAAAGTGTAGCACCGCAATGTATTTCTTATATTTCTTATTTTTTTAGCTTGGAGTGTATTTAAGGGTAATTTGGGAAGATAGTGGGGTTTTCTTAGAAATTGTAAAATTTTAAATTAAAAGTTGGGATGAACTAAAAGAAGTGTGGGGTTTAAATAAAAAATCTCTAAATGTAATTTGAAATGAACTTTTAACTCAAGTGACATGAGATAAAAATGATACATTTAAAAACACAAGAAGAACATCTCCAGCAATCCTAGAAAACTTGATTTCATATATAAGCATATAATGTTGTCTATGCCAAAGGGCTCCATCTGCGACCTTTTCAAGAGTCAATTGAAGATAGCAGCCAAGAACCATAGCAAATTGGAAGTACACAACATTTTCTTTCTTTTTCAAGAAGTTGATGAGCAACTTTATTGCTCTTCAAAAATGACCATGTTCTTAAACAATTTGCATAAGATGACAATAGAAAAAACCTAGGATCTTAGATTACATCATCGATTAAGAAAAAATTTAACCCAAATGTGAAGACTCAATAAAGAAACACGTGGTAGCAAAGAATATACATTTTAACTAAGTGCAATTTCCTGAATGTTTTTATCAATCAAGCATCATCAGCATCGCTTCCACCAATCTGAGCTTCCAAAGCTATCGAGTAGTTGCTTCCATCAGGACCAAGAATCTGGAATCTGCTCAGCAACAAAAGAAAATTCACTCCAGAAATTTTAATGCAGCGACCAAAGACATTAGTTTGGTTTTACCTCTCAAGGATAAATTTCCCTTCCTTGTACTTCTGGCTTTTCTCCTGTGCAGCCTCCTAAAATTGATAGCCAAAAAACGAGTTCCATACAGCGATCGTATTGATGAAAGTACTGCAAATATCCAAAAACATAGTTTTGAGGAAAATATCTTACGTATCTCCACCCCACCATTGAGCCACATGAAACACAAAATATGTCAGCAACAGTATGTAATCCGGTAATCATGATCCGCTCTTCTTTCTCTCCGAGTGTGACATTAACACTGCCATACATTGAGGAAATTAAAAGGTCAATTCAGCATTCACATGTGCAAGCTGCATTTGATGTGAGTTATGCACATTTGGTAGGATTCAAATGAATGAAAATGCGTTTGAGATAAACCACATCACCCATCACATAGCCAGGAAGTTATTTAGTGAAAAGTGGGAGAACAATATTCATAAGATGAATTCGTACACTGTCACTGTATTCTTTTCTTTTCTTTTTTCCCCCTTTTTCATTCTCAAAAGTTAAGCTTTCAAAATTCATCAATGGGAATGTATTCTCTAGCCTACATCAGACCAAGTTGCAGATACAACTCATTCCATTAGCTTGGTGGACCAAGAAGCAACACGTGCACATAGCATGACTAAGAGTTTTGGGGCAAGTGAGACCAATATAACCTCACATGCCCGTGACCTTATGAGTACACACACAAGCATGCAAGCTTACACTTACACGTTATGAAAAAGATAAGCCTTTCCATGTCTGCAGTGAAACGACTGGAACAAAACAAAATCAGAGGGTTAGAATGTTGCTAATCATTCCCGATATCAAACATAGACATAAAAGGAAAGGAGAACAATGTTTACAAGCATCAAGCAAGAAGTGGAAAAATATCATTTGAAAGGTCATGACAGGAAAAGAGAAAAGTCCTGGGGCCTCCACATAATCAGGACACGTAAATATAGCTTTCTACAATAAGTTTCAGATTGTGATATTATGTCTTTTATAGAGATATTCAAGCGTTATTACAGTTAAACAGAACTAAGAGACATTGAAGTGGGGAAATCAATATTTGAAGAGCTAGCAAACTATGATCAAAGTTCAAACCAACAATAATGCAAATAACTGGGACAACATTTTGGTCTAGAGTTAGATCCTTAGAGAACAGAGACACCACATCCTATCTCACCCTCCAGCCGGAATTAACAATTAACCCAGGAAAAGTGTAGAATAGATTTCTTGGACCTGAATTTAGCAGGAATTAGAGATCCTGAATTCTTCTCCAGCAAGTAATCCGACCATCGTGTTTCTAGATAGGCATAGTTTAAACCTAGAGCATCATCATAATAGTTTTACTGATGAAGATTCTAAATCTTGAGCATTTTTCATATCCAGTCATCAAACATATAGGCCATTTCACATGCAGCAAATGTTGATTGTGTCGAGCAATAAAACTAATTTGGAAAAGAAGCCCTGCAAAAAAAAATACGAGAAAGAAACCTAGAAACAACCCAATGTTTGAGTTTCCCAACCTCAAGTAGTTTGAACATGACCCATCACTATGTGTTATGGTATAACAAAACAACCACAAAAATCTGAAGTCCCATTTGACCGCAATGAGACAAGATGCATATCCAGGTTAACCCAAAACATTACTTCCTCAATATCTTATGGGCAGAGCCCCTTAAGTTGCTTCCTTTTCATTGACAGACTTATCAGTTACTGGGACTTAGCATAATAAACCCACACAAACTAAATTCTTAGAATGCCATACCACCAATAAATTTCACATAAAAAAATTGCCACACAATTTTACATATCATATCATAACAATGCATCATAGAGTTCATGAATGCATAGGCGGACTACATATGCAATAAACAGTAAAACTGAAAGAAAAAAATTTGAATTATGGGGCAGATGATTTCAGACCTTAGAGAGTATGTCATCAACAAGAGCAAGATGGGTTTTGCAGTGCTTGCAGCTGTAGATTTTTCCTTCAAGACTGATCGCAAACAGCCTTCCCATGTCGTCACACTACACCTCTAGCTATCTTAATTTCTTTTCCTAGAAAAACACCAAGATCGACAACCATATTAGAGAAATGAGCATACCAAATAAAACCTAGAAATCACATTAAACAGAAATTTGAGAATTTCGAAATTATTTTAAACTTTAAAAATGAAAAATGCAAAAAGGGACATGCTTTACAATGCAGACGTATAATTTTATGATATGAAGAACAGCAGAACGATGACGCCTATTGGGTTTTATCTGATCTTTACCAGCAGTTACAGAGGGAGCAGAATAGCAACGAAACCTTTCATTGAGTTGGGACGAGGGTCTGCCCGCTTTAAACAGAGAAGTACTTTCCGAGTACAACTGCAAACTGCAATAGAGGCACCTATTTTTTTTCTTTTTCTATTTTTTAAAATTTCATTTCAATTTATATTTTCTTCTTCTTTTTCTTTTATCTATATATATATATATATACAGTCCCCTTCCATTGAGGGATCCCTCAATGGAAGCTCTCTATATATATATATATAGAGAGCTTCCATTGAGGGATCCCTCAAATAAGCTTATTTTAGGGATCCCTCAATGGAAGCTCTCTATATATATATATATAGAGAGCTTCCATTGAGGGATCCCTAAAATAAGCTTATTTGAGGGATCCCTCAAATAAGCTTATTTTAGGGATCCCTCAATGGAAGGGGACTGTATATATATATATATAGAAAAAAGAAAAAAATGGGGAAACATTCAAAATACCAAAAAATGTCCTTGATTAATTCAAATATTAAGAATTGAAATTATTAATTAAATAAGGATAATATGGTAAATTCACATTTTTTTCATATTAAAAAAAATCAGGTAATAGGTCCTATTTTTGTGAAACATAACTACCCATGTTATCTTTCCTTAATTCTTTAAATAAATAAATAAATAAATAAAACCAATTGGCAAGGGGCTAGTATTTTTAAAGTAAAACATTTTACCCAACAAAAAAAAGAGTAAAACATATAATTAAAAATGCCAAAATTTTAGTACAAAATTAGAGGTCTGATAAAATTTTGAAAGACAAAAACTGAAACAAAAAATAAATGCAAGGTAAATATCTACTTGTTGGGCAAGGTTGTGGAGATTATGTTGTGGGATCGCTTAGTTGGTTCGTAAGTGCTCTATAGTCTCCGATCCTCATTAGAGTAATTAAGAATGAATGAAGAGGTATTATTTATCACATTTTGAATCAAAGAATACTTGTCTATGATCTTAATTCATAGTCAAATAATGTTCTTAAGTCACGGAATGACAACATAAACTTTAAGTTCTCTCACAAGAAAAACTGATCATTTCTTTATTGCGACCTCCGTAATTTTTGACTTTCATTAATGTAGAGAAGTTTGAATTTTGATGTACTTTTCACAAGTTCAGAAATTTTACAAAAGAAAAAGTACCTTTATTTGGGGAAAAAAAAAGATAATAAAAACACTCTCCTGGCTTAGTTGTTTGGTAACGCTTGTCGCCGATAGAGTAAAAACGCAGTGCAAGAGGGATTGGAGCTTCTTTTTCTTTTCTTTTTTCTATGAAAACTTCTAGCTGTAAAAGCGAAGGGACAGTGCGAAGAATAACCCAAGGTTCAATTGAGTATATTCCAAGAGATGACTCATTCTTTTTAGCTATAGACATGCCATGAGTGGACATGAGACTAATTCCAAGAAGGTGCCAAAGGACAATAACGTTTCACATTACTGACTAGACCAAGCAAAGAAACCCATTTCGATAGGAGAGGAGAGGCTCTCTGCCATTAAGAAGACATCTCTATTGACTCACATTTTCATGTGTTTGGGAAGCCTTATCTTCTTTTTTTTCTTCCCTGATTTCATGTAAGCAATTAACCAGCCTGGGATTGTTTGTTATACATCCAATCCAACTAGCCATGGCAACTTTTTTTGTTCCCTTCTCTCTTTCCATTGGCCAAAGGCAAGTGACAGAAAAATAGCTCATAGTGAATTGTGTGCGTCTCTTGAATCACAAAGTACATTCTTGTTAGTTTCATGATCAATAGGCAAAGGTTCAGCACATAAAAATAACTAAAATTTAAAACTATCAAATATGCGATGATGACGAACTGATGAATGCACCTCTAGGAGAGTCAGACGTTGCAAGATCCATAATTTGATTTTCCTTGACAAACAAAATCCAATCAGAAGGTGCTGCCATGACATATGGTAAAAAATATAAGGAGTCTACAAAGAAGTATGTTTTCCCTTTGAAAAAATGGGATCCGCAGGTGATGTCCAACTATGAAGAAGAAATTGTGTCTTGGGGTGTTCTTTTCACAACAGCACCAATTCTCTGAGGAGGCCACGCAATGTGGGTAACCCTTCCTTGAACTAGACCCAGAGGAATCTGCCAACAAACAGCTTGTCTAACTTAGCCAAAGTGTCGGAAATATAGAAGACAGCCTAAGTTAGCCACATTTGCAATATGATCTGATGCATTTAGCCAAGTCACCAGCACAAGCTGCATGCTTACTATCAAATACGTAAAGTTAAGAATGTTCAAAAGAAACTTCTGAAAGAAAAGCCCACAGTACTTCAAACATTACTTAGATTCTACAGATGTTTCCAAATGACAACAAAAGCAGCTAGCATAAGCTCGAGTTGCCAACTTTTTTTCAAAATGACAACTTTTGTGCCATTGCCAAACTAATTATCTATATAGCATTGAATTTTATCATGTACAAATAATCTCATTTTGGAGCCAGAAGTTAAAGTAATAGAAAAAAGATTTACTTCCTACTCCACATTATAAATTTTCTGAATAATACATACACAAGCAGAGTTATTTGACATAAACTAAGAAAATTCAAATACCTAGTAGTTAGTGTATGGTTCCACATCCTCGGCGACACAATCAATAATGGTGACCATAATGATAAGTTATGCTATCATTAAACTACTTCTTGTTAGTGCACAAAAGGGAAACTTACTGGGCCAAACGATCTTGAATCCAAGCTAGAAGATGAGTTGTCTCCCTCAACCCAACAATGTCCTTCTGGAATTTTCAGCACATCATAGGAATGACGAGTTCCAATCCACTCACCAGGTAATGCAGTTATTCTCTTTATGTGCCTCTCCTTGTGATTGCTTGGGGAACTGCAAAAGGTTCCAACAAGCCTAATTGCTTCTTAAAATTCACCAGGCATAAATGGTATTCGATCTGCACTGGGGGCAAAAATTACCTGAAAACAACCACGTCACCATGTGAAAACTTGTAGTTTTGAAGACACCGCTTCTCCACCAAAACATAGTCATCTGCAACCACACCACTAAATAAGCACCATCACAATGCACAGAACAACAATTTGTTTGAGATATCTCTCAATATACGAACCAATTGGCAAGCCCATTAAAGAAGTAGTTCCAGGATTTAACGTAGGCGACATAGAGGAACCGCGCACCGGAGCAACACCCACAAATCGATCTGAAACATAGACACCTATGACCCCGCATGTGAAAAACTTGTTGGCGAAACTCCACAACGCACTCCGAGTTCCCATGTCCAAGTTTTTCAGCAAATAATCACATTTCAGTAGCAAAATGGAACCATCTGTAACAACTACCATCAATTTCACTATATAAAAAAGAGACAGTTCATAGATTCATGCTAAAAATGACAAACAAAAAAAGGCAGAAGCAGAGGTTTTTGACAGCACATCTAACAATTATGGCGCATGAAGCAAACTGCAACTTTCTAAGTATGTGATATAGAGTGAATGTGCAATGCCGATAAACGTCAAAAAGATTTAGACAAGCAAATACGCTACCCAATCTCTCAGAGACAAACAATCAAACACCTAGTAGACTCGATGGACCACAGAGAGAGAGAAGGTTACTATTGGAGTAGAGTTTACCAGGTAAATTTTTAGATTAGCTGTCGAATAAGGCTCCTTCGCCGGCGGGAACCTTGTCAATGGAGATAAGGCGGGAGGCGGAGGTGGCGTGCCGTCGTTGGCCCTCGTGATTTTGGGGAGGTGGAGAAGCAAGTATCGAATCGAATATATGTCGGCTTTTGAGCTATACCTGACAGAAACTTTTCGCTCAAGGAATTTGAATTTGCCGATTTGGGCCGTTGAAGTTCCAAAAGTGGTAATTGGAAGCCCAATTCAAACATCCAAGTTCCAACAACCGAAGAGATGTTTTTGTAGTTGGGGTTTTTTATTTATTTATTTATAAATGGTTTTAAATGAACTTTTTTTTTCAACTCCCAAACTACAGATACTTTCATGATTTTTTTTAAATTCGTTTTAAATGGTTTTAACAAATTTTTTTTTTTTTTCAAACTGGACCCTATATTTTGGTTTCATTTTCAATAAGATTCCCAAAGTTTAGTTGCGTTGCGTTTTCAATAAAAATTTGATTGAAAAAAAATTTTCCTTAAAATAATATTTAAAAAAACTAATATGCACGCCAAAATGACATATTAGTAAACAGAAGCCAAACGTATACATATAAAAGAAAGGGAAAAAAAACCTTATAAACTGTAAATTGATTAAATTGAAATTTCGTGGCCTTTCTAATAAATTGAGGATATCATATCTTCTTTTCTTTTTTTTCTTTTTTTTTAATTTATAGAAATTATGACTCCATACCTAGAGAGGGTGTGATATCCTCAGCCCAAAAAAGTTACAACTATATAAATTTATAAATAAACCCAATCTTAGACATGTATTTATAAAAAAACACAAACATTATTTAAACATGGAAACACACCCAAAATAAACCCCAAAATCAACAATTGTATATTTTTTGGGTGTGTTTATAAATGAGTTTTGAGTGTGTGTAATGATGAGTTTTGGGCGTGTTTATAAAATATTTTGGGTGTTGGGTTTTTTTATAATTTCAGCCTCCATTTTGGGTGTTTTAGTGAAACTCCCTTAAAACTATTCATACTTAATGGAAAACAAAATATCCAAACCATATGGATATTGGTCAATTTATTTGTATCTTATGTTATCATGTTTTCCCATAATTATATAGTGCAGATATATTTTATTTGGGCCACCAAATACAATAATTGGAATGTTGCCCCGTATTTCATCTATTTCAAAAGCGACCTTAATGTTTTCCCATAATCATTATTTCATTCTCTTTCATCACCTAAGACTAAGCTACCCCTCAACGACTTTAACTCGAGATAAATTATTTCACATCGAGCAAACAGGAAAAGCTCACATGCTCTTGCATATAGTAATCTTTACAACATTAAGCAGTACAAATCATGATTATGCTAAGTAATTAACGTACACAATTTTGAATTCTACAAATTCAAAACCCAACATGATATGCACGTAGAAAATAGGTGCTCAAG